AGCTGACAAAACGACACTGCCGCGGGCGCGTGCTTCCCGTTGCCCAAGCTCCGGCGGAGGCTGGACCGGTCATGGGCGCTGCTGAAGGCTTGGCGGCGAGTGGTACCTGCAGAGCGGGCGCTGCCGTTCACGCCCGACATCGCCGCGGGCATGGCGAGTCTGGCAGTGGAGGCCGAAGCGTTCGACTTGGGCTGCCTGCTGCTCATCAGCTTTGAGGGCCTGCTGCGGGGGGGGCGAGGCCTTTGCGTTGACGGTGGGCGACGTTTTCGACTGAGGTATTCAGTCGTGCTGCATATCCAGACGTCCAAGACCACAGCAGGCAAGGGCGCTGCGGAGGCCGTCGTCATCAGGTCGGCAGTGGCCAAGGCAAGGCTCAGGCTGGCCGTGCAGCAGGGCCTCCAAGCGAAGCCCAGTCGTGGAGGTCGCCCGCCCAGGTCAGAGGGTGCTCGGAGCCCTCGCGCACGGCCAGGGCCTTCATGGGCGGTACTCGCGGCAGCTTGCCTGGCGAGGAGGCGCCTCAGACTTCTTCCTGCGCTCGTCCTCCATGGAGGCCGCGCTCGTGAGGGGCAGCTGGGCCAGCAGCATGATGGCCCGCATATACATTGAGGGTGCGGTGGCCGACCTCGTGCGCGTGCGGCCGCAGACCAGGCCGCCGCCGCCTGCTTGCATGGATCCGCTTGTTGCATGAATTCTCAGAGCTGAAAAAAACTAGATTGTTTACTGCATATGCTCACGAGCTTCGCTCTGGGAATGATCTCGTCGGTTCAAACTCGACCGCAGATTGATGCACTGCAAATGAGGTGGAGGAGTGGAGAGTTTAACCGCATTTTCACGGCTAGCAAGCCACGAGGGGGTGGTGATGGTATAGCGTGTTTTCCCAGTTCTTTGCGCGGACTGGGGTTCAGTGTGGCCTGGGTCTTGAAACGCCCCTCCCCGTCGTGAAGCTGGCCCGCGAAGCCAGAGTGAAGCCAGTGTGGACTGCCACGCTGGCTGCTCTGGCTGCGGGGGGCCTTGCTCTTGGCTTGGCGCAGCTGTGGGGGAAGGGGGCGTCGGGCGGTTCGCGGCGAACCGCCGTCTGAGGGGGAAACGGAGCTATTAGACCATTGGCGTGGACACGTGCAGTAAAACGGTATGTCCGTATACAGGCTTGTATGGTCGTACCATTTGGTGCGTGTATCCCCTGCGCCGTTTACCCTCCGTACCAGAGCTGTTCTGGCCCCCCGACCACACACCACCCACCATAATGATCTCCTGTAGGGGCTAGCCGGCTCAATGCTTGCCTGTGGTGCTGTAGCCCATCAGGTATAGCGTGTTTTCCCCGTTCTTTGCGCTGCCGCGGACTGGGGTTCAGTGTGACCTGGGTCCTGAAACGCCCCTCCCCGTCGTGAAGCTGGCCCGTGAACCAGAGTGAAGCCAGTGTGGACTGCCACGCTTGGCTGCTCTGGCTGCGGGGGGCCTTGCTCTTGGCTTGGCGCAGCTGTGGGGAAAGGGGGCGTCGGGCGGTTCGCGGCGAACCGGCGTCTGAGGGGGAAACTGAGCTATTAGACCATTAGCGTGGACACGTGCAGTAAAACGGTATATATATATATATATAGACACGTATCGGAGAGGCCCACGGCGAATCACCGCCGCCCCCTGCCCTTGTGGAAGCGCCTATGTGTCCGACAGTTTGGCTAGAGCTCGGCCGAGCTATCGGACCATGTGTTCCATGAGTCGGTTTGGGAGAGGAAGGGAAGGAGGAGGAAAAACAGGAAAAAGGAGAAGGGGGAGGATGCCTCTTCGGAGCCTCTTGGGGCACTCTTGGGCTCGATTGGGCCATCTTGGGACCGTCTTGGGGACCATGTTGGGGTTATCTTGGGCTCTCCTGGGGCCTCTTGAGAGCCTCAAGCTGGAAGATCTTCCGGGTGGCCGGCAGGACAGGCCGAAGCCCCAGGGGGAGTTCTTTGGGAAAAAGAGCCAAAACCAAAACCGACAGAGTCTAGCACGCCGGGCGCCCTTGTGGCAGGCCAACAGGGGGCGGCGGATCTAAGACGCCTACGGCGAATCGCCGCCGCCCCCTGCCTATTTGGAAGCGCCTAGGTTGCCGAACGTTGAGGCCAGACCTGCCAAGGTATCGGACCATGTGTCCCCCGAATCGGTTTGGAGAGCCTTCGGGGAACACGTGGGCATCTTGAAAGTCATCTCGGCCGCCTGGAGGCCATTTTGACCCTTTCGGGCCTTTTTGGAGGACGTCTTGGAGGGCTCGTGGGCCGTCTTGGAGGCCATCTTGAGCGTCTTTGCCTTGGGCCGTCTTGGGGGCCTCTGGGGGCCGTCGTGGGCCTCTTGGGCGATCTTTGGGTGCACTTGGGCCGTCTCGGGCCGTCGGAAGGCAGAAAAAAAACAAATGCCACAATACTTCAAAGACCCAAGGGAGATCTATGATGTTGACTTTCTCGGCCCTTCCTGGAGGCCCTCTTGGTAGCCTCTTGGGCCGTCTTGGGCCATCGTAGGGCTATCTTCGGTCGTTTTGGTGGGCTCCTGGCCCGCCCGACGCCGTCGGAAGCCGTTTTGGGGGCCTTTTTGGGCCGACTTGGGGTCCTCTTTGAATGCTCCAGGGCCGTCTTGGAGGCTATCTTGGGCGTCTTAAAAGCCTCCTGGGCCGTCTTGGGGGCCTCTTGGGCCCTTCTGGGGCCATCTTGGAGGCCTCTTGGGCGATCTTTGGGTGATCTTTGGGGGCTCTTGGGCCGTATTGGCCGAAAAGAAACAAACAAATGCCAAACACCTCCAACAACTAAGGAAACAAACTGTGTTTGGCCTTCCTGGAGGCCCTCTTGGAGGCCTCTTGGGCCGTCTTGGGCCAGCTTCGAGCCAACTTCGGCCATCTTTGTGGGCTCCTGGCCCGTCTGACGCCGTCGGAAGCCGTTTTGGGGGGCCTCTCTGGGCCGACTTGGGGCCTTCTTGGGGTGCTCCAGGGCCGTCTTAGATGCCATCTTGGGCGTCTTGGAAGCCTCTTGGGTCGTCTTGGTGCCCTCTTGGGGCCGTCTTGGGGGCCTCTTGGGCAGTCCTGAGGCCATCTTGGAGGTTTCTTGGGCGCTGTGGGGGCGATCTTGGGGGCCTCTTGGGCCGTCTTGGGTCGTCGGAAAGCCGAAAAGGAGCAAATCCGAAAATTCTTCAAACACCTAAGGAACACAAATGATGGTGGTCTCTTCGGGCCCTCCTGGAGGACCTCTCGGAGGCCTCCTGGGCCGTCTTGGAGGCCTCTGGGGCACCTCTTGGGCCGTCTTGGGCCGTCTTGGAGGTTTCTTGGGCGGACTTGGAGGCATCTCCTCTCTTGGGCGGACTTGGAGGCCATCGTGGACCATCTTGGAGGCCATCTTGGGCCATCTTGGCCGTCTTGGAGGCCATCTTGGCCGTTTTGGAGGCCTCTTGGGGCCCTCTTGGGGCCGTCTTGGGGGCCGTCATGGGGCCATCTTGGAGACCTCGTGGGCGATCTTGAGGGCCTCTTGGGCCGTCTGGAGCCGTCGGAATGCCGAGAAGAAGCAAATGCCAAAGTCCTTCAACAACCGAAGGAAAATCAATGATGTTGGCCTCTTTGGGCCCTCCTGGAGGACCTCTTGGAGGCATCTTTGGCCGTCTTGGAGGCCTCTTGGGCACCTCTTGGGCCGTCTTGGGCCATCTTCAGGCTATCTTAGGCCGTCTAGTGTACATCTTGGGCCGTCTTGGAGGCATCTTGGGGCCATCTGAGCCGTCTTGGAGGCCATCGTGGCCGTCTTGGAAGCACCTTGGCCGTCTTGGAGGCCATCTTGGGGCCGTCTGGGGCAGGAAAACTGTTTGCAACCACCTCTTCAGGATGGCCGACGGGACGGGCCGAAGCCCCAGGGGGAGTTCTTTTGGAAAAAGAGCCAACACCAAAAGCCATATCGTCCACGCCAGGCACCCCTTTGATACATCAAAAGGGGGCAGCGGACACAGTAGCCGTCGGTCCATCCCGCCACCGTGCCTGGGTTGTGGGTTGGAAGCCTCTTGGATGTTCGTTTGGGTATCGTGGGAGGCATCTCGGGGCCTCTTGTCGGTACTGCCCTTTTTGGGGCCCTCTTGGGGCCCTCTTGTGCGATCTTGTGCGCCTCTTGGGCCGTTTTGGGGCACTCGTGGACCGTCTTGGGGCCCTCTAGGGGGCCTCTTGGGCCGCCTTGCGGCGGTCTTGAAGGCCTCTGGGGCCATCTTGGAGCGTCGGAAGCCCGAAAACGCGAGAACGCAAAAAAACATCGAAACACGCAAGGACACCGATGATGATTGCCGCTTTAGGCCCTCTTGGGGGTCCTCTTGCAGCGCTCTTGGGGCTTAGTTGGGGCCTCTTGGGCCGTCTTGGGGCCAGCTCGGGCGTCTTGGAGCGCACTTGGGCTGTCTTGGAGGCCTCCTGGGCCCTCTTGAGCGTTTTCTCGGGCCACCTTGGCCCGTCTTGAGGCTCCCTGGCTTCTGGGGAAGTCACGCGAGTCAGTCCAAGAACGCGCGGGATCGCCGAAGAATTTTGAGACTGCTGGGCCCCAGCCCTTAGAATACTACAATCCCAGAGTCCTGAGTACAGAGAACGGACACATGAGCGCCTGGAGAAAACCCCACTTCGCGCCTCGTGGCACAGTGGCGGACATATGTATATGTTTTTGTTTGTTTGAATATACCTTACACTTATCTATATAAAGAATATGATGGTCCTCCCAGGTAGGAGGAGGAGGAGGAGGAGGAGGAGGAGGAGGAGGAGGAGGAGGAGAAGGAGGAGGAGGAGGAGGAGGAGAAGGAACAAAAGGAGTACAGTCGGCCCGGATTAGTAGGTCGACCCTGCCAAATCGTACCTTTGTGTCCTGTGTCTCGCGACCCATGCCTCCTGCATTCCTATGGAAATGTGGCCCTCGGAGGGGTCTTTTGTCCTCTCGCGTGTCCTGTCCAATGAAGTCCGACTGTAGGCAGGAGGACCTCGCGGAGGGCGAAGGGCGAAGGCGAAGGAGTCCAGTCGTGGCGGCCAGGCGAAAATACACACGCTCATGGACAGCATGGCCAAGTGCGGGTATTGCCACAAGCGGTTCTGCATGACCCACGTCCAGGCCGTGCGTGCCGGCAGACCTTGCCTGGGCTGGCTAACAGAGAGAGGGATGGGAGGCCCTGTCGGGGGAGGGGGTGCTGCTTCTCGCGTGGGCGAGGAGCGGCGGGGACAAAACGTGCTGCTCTCCCTCCCCCCTCTCCTCCGCTCTCTCGCTCCCCCTCCGGGCCTCCTCCCTCCTCCTTCCTCGCTTGACTCTCGTTCCTCCATGCTCGCTCGCCTCTGCGCCGGCATCTCCCGCCGCAGACGCATGGGGGCAGCCCTGCTGGTCTCTCCCCCCCTTCAGATGCTATGTGGAGGCAGCAGCCTCCCCGTGGCGCAGGCGTGGCCCCAGCCGGTCCTGCCGCAGAGCGACGTCGTCCAGCGACGACTGCGCGCCAAAGGCAGCGTGGTGAGGGCCGGGCTGCTGGAGGCCTTCGACGCAGGCGTACGGCGTCGAGGAAGAGAGCCTACGCTCTTAGAAGCAAAAGCACATAAACATAAATTTTCGACGCTCCGCGCGCCAGGGAGGGGGGCCCAGCGCAGATCCAAGAAGTCCGCGCGGAGCGCCAAAAGTTTATGTTTACGTGTTTCTGTTATTCCTCTATGCGTTTATGGGAACAGCTTTGGCAGAGGCGCTCGGCAGGCCACGTGCTCAGAAGGCGCAGGGAGCTCGGAGTCGCCAGGCCGCACAGGAGGGGAAGCGGACCCAGGCGTCGCCAACAAGGATCATGCAGGACTCCGCCACACCAGCAGACTCGGCCGAAGGGAAGATCGGCGCTGCGCTTGATTACTACGATCTCACCCCGTCTGTAACTTTCCAGGGCGTCTTGGAGTGCATAGACTCGGGTGGCGCGAGGGAAGGCTCGCAGAGGGAGATTGCGATGACCCCCGGGGACAAGCTTGTGACGCGCAAGGGCGACAGCTCCAAGTACGGCTTCCCCAACCTCTACCCGCAGCCATTGCAACTGCAGCAGCAACATTCCCAAATCAGTATTTGCACTGTGGGTTTCTTGGCGAACATGGCAAGGGTAAGCGAGAATACCCTGCCGATGTTCGGTCGGCGGCCCGGCTTCCAGGTCCCAGGGCTTCTGAGATGTTGGTCGATTTTCCAGGCTCCTCAGAATGTAAAAGCATAGCGAAAATGTTGGGCCGATCTCAATCGGCGGCCGGGTTTCTGCATTCTCGAATTCTTGGCTGCAGGTTTCCAAGTTTCTCGTGTTCTCGGTTGCGGCCAAGTGCCCGGGGTCTTGAGAGCACGGGCAGAAGAGATAGTTAATTGCAGACAGCCGATATCAGAGAGTAGTGGGTAGAAAAGTAGGGGGAAGAGAGAGAGCGAGAGTGTAGGAAGACACGCGAGTGGAGAGGGTAGTGACAATGTATATATACCGTAGCACCCCGCAATTGCGGATAAGAGTGAGGGGGCGGGCGCGGGCGACGCGGGCGTCGTCGAGCCGGCGGACCTCGTGGCCCCCACCTTTCTTGTCGATGGCGCTCTCCTCCACCTCCTCCTCCTCCTCCTTCTCCTCCTCTTCCTCCTCCCTCTCCTCCTCCTCTTCCTCGTCCTCATCGTCATCGTCATTCTCCTCCTCCACCTCGTCCTCCTCCTCCTCCTCCTCCTCTTCTTCCTCGTCCTCCCTCTCCCCCCCTCGTCTTTTCATCATGGTCCTCCCATTGTCGTCCTCCCCCTCATCGGCCTCCATCATCGTCCTCCCATTGTCGTCCATCATCATCATCCTCCCCATCCTCCCCCTCCTCGTCCTCCTCCTCCCCCTCCTCCCCCTCCTCCCCCTCGTCCTCCTGCTCCTCCTCCTTTTCTTTCTCCACGTTCTCCTTACATCCTCTCTTCTTCCACGTTCTCCTCGTCCCCTGTTTACTCATCCTGCCTCCCCCTCCTTTCCCAAGATAACTGCAACGCAATCCTTTTTTCCACTTTATGCTCCCCGCCTTCTCTGATCAAGGCAACTCGCCAGGGCAAAGTTGCTGGACGGGCTGGCGTGGATGTGCGGGGCGTGAAGAGGTCCTTGCGGGATCAGACGGCATGCAAGAATCCGCCGCCGCGCTTGTGCGGCATTGGTTTGTTCAGTGAACGTGGTTTAGGTCGCGGGTGGGTCGCGGGCTCTCCACCTCCACCTGGAAGGAATGCAAAAGCAGCCCGCCGCAAGCGCCAAAAAAACTGGTTCGTACACGGAACGAGGTTTGGGTCGCGGGTGGGCCGCGGGTTCTCCACAAGGAACGAATGCAAAGGATGCCCGCCGCAGGCGCCGAAAATGTGGTTTGTACCCTGAACGTGGTCGCGGGTGGGCCGCGGGCTCTCCACCTGAAACGAATGCAAAATATGCCCGCCGCAGGCGCCGAAAAATGTGGTTTGTACCCTGAACGTGGTTTGGGTCGCGGGTTGGTCGCGAGTTGGTCACGGGATGTGTCACTTGGAAGGAATGCAAAAAAGCCCGCCGCAGGCGCCGAAAATTGTGGTTTGTACCTTGAACGTGGTTTGGGTCGAAGGTGGGTCGCGGGTGGGTCGCGGGGTAGGTCGCGGGTGGGTCGCGGGTGGGTCGCGGGTGGGTCGCGGGTGGGTCGCGGGGTGGGCCGCGGGGGGGTCGCGGGGTGGGTCGCGGGTTGGGTCGCGGGGTGGGTCGCGGGGTGGGTCGCGGGGTGGGTCGCGGGGTGGGTCGCGGGTGGGTCGCGGGTGGGTCGCGGGTGGGTCGCGGGGTGGGTCGCGGGGTGGGTCGCGGGTGGGTCGCGGGGCGGGTTGCGGGTGGGACGACGACAACAAACAACAACAACAACAAACAACAACAACAAGAATCCGCACCGCGGAATTCCACATCAGCCACGCACCCAGGGACAGTGAATGACCGTTCGGCCCCTTCACTCTGATATATATAGTTCGATGAAAGAGAGTGAGAGAGATGGATAACCTGTACGTGTTAACCAGCGTCGACCCCAATCAGTGTTATTGTAATGTGAAGGTGAAAGCTATGCGATGTAAGTTATGTGGTGAATGCCATGTCGTTTGCAGAAGCTATGTGGTGTCATCTGTGGAGGTGCCAACTAACCAGTGCGGGCTATGTGGTGAAAGCTGTGCCACGTGAGCTGGAGGTGGAAGCTGCGGGGCGCAAGCTATGTGATGGAAGGGCTTCAGTTCGTCTTCGGCCCCCTGCGAGTTTAAAATGTCTGTTGATGCGGCAAAAGGCAGCGGCGTCGGCGGCACTGATGGTTGGAGAATGGTTTGTGTTGTAGTGGTGGCGTTCAACACAAAGTATGCGTGGCCCCATTCTCACGCCATGCACGCGCGAGCCCAGCATGTTGCCTGCAGCGCAGACACGTACAGCCCCAGTTACAGCCCCCACTGCAGGCAGCAGTACAGCTCTCACTACAGCTCTTACTACTGCCCCCTACGACAGCTCTTAAAACAGGCCGTAGTACAGCTCCTTGTCCAGCCAGTAGTACATGTCCTTCTTTTCTACAGCTCTCACCACAGCTCCGAGTAGAAGTCCTACACCAGCTCTTCACAAAGGCCTCTCAACATTTCCTACCACAGGCACGCGCATAGCGCCCACTACAGCTCGCGATGCAAATCCGATTCCAACTGGTAGCACTAATCTTACTACATATCATAGTGCAGTGGTTGTTGTACCCCCCCAATGCAGCAAGGCATGCATGTATGTTCCGACCGACGTGCCTACTACACGTTCCATTGCCAACAGCCGTACACATCCGGACCCCGTTTTCAAGGCGTTGCCTTGCCCACTGCTGCTCTTACTGCAGTCCCCAGCGCAGCTCATACCACAACGCACCTTGCAGCTTCCGCTGCAGATCGTACAGCGCACGTTGCATACCCGGGGCGGCGGTACTCTCCAGCCGCGCGGCCCACAGGCCGAAGTGCACGGCTGCGGGGACGCGGCCCAGAGGGCCGAGCAGAAGAAGTTTCGGCAGGCCGCCGAGGAGCGGCCGCCGGCGTCGAGGGGGAGGGGGGGAGGAGCGTGAGGAGGAGGAGGAGGAGGAGCAGAGGAGCAGAGGAGCGGAGGAGCAGAGGAGAGAGGAGCAGAGGAGAGAGGAGGAGGAGGTGGTCCCCATTTATCCATATGCCCTGTGTATTGCTGCGTTGTGTCTCCTGCGTCGCGCACTTTTATTAACTGCACGTCCCTCTTGGCACGAGCACCTGCGCCGAGAGCGCAGACAGGAGCCGCGTGCCGCTGCTGCCGCCGCCCTGTCTCTTTCTTCTCACCCGTGGCCAGGCATCGACTCATCGTCCGCCTCTCGACCGACCGATCCACCCACCCACCGACCGACGGACCGAGGAGGAGGAGGAGAAGGAGGAAGAGGAGGACGAGGAGCAGGCGGAAAACGATGGGGGCCTGCGCCTTGCCGAACGTCCTCCTGGTGTTCCGAGGGCGGATGCGCGAGTTCCCACAGACTCGCCTCACGCAGTAGGAGAAGGAGGAGGAGGAGGAGGAGGAGGAGGAGGAGGAGGAGGAGGAGGAACAGTGTGACGAGGAAACGCTGTCGGCACAGATGGGTCCAAGATCAGAATGTTCCCCCCCCCCCAAAGGAAATCGAGAAGGAGGAGGAGGAGGATCGAAGGAGGAGACTTGGCAGAGGAGGAGGTGGAGGCGGAGGCCCCGCCTTTCCAGCTCGCCACTCCTAACCCTGCCTTGGCCCGGGAAGAGCAAGAGTAACCTCCACGCGATATCGCGTAGCCGAGCAAATGCAGCAAAGAAGACGTGATGCCTAGGAGACCCACTCTCTGGCCGCCAGGCGCAATCAATGACGAAAGAGTGTACGACGGGCGGGAGGAGTGGGGTGCCCTTTGCGAGATTACGTCCCCCCTCTTCAGAGCGCAGCTCGTTCCTCTAAGCAATAAGCGCGCGAGACCTCCTCCTTCTCATTCTCTTCTTCCTCCTCCTCCACCTCCTCCACATCCCCTTATATTCAGCATCATCAGCAGCAGCACTATCATCAACATCGGCATCATCAACATCAACATAAGCCGCATCATCAGCAGCAGCATCATCATCAGCAGCAGCAGCATCGGAATCATCATCATGATCCTCCTCATCATCATCATCATCAGCATCATCATCATCAGCAGCAGCAGCAGCAGCAACATCACCAGCATCATCATCAGTAACATCATCATCATCATCATCAGCAGCAGCAGCAGCAGCACCATCCTCATCATCTTCCTCGTCGTCGTCATCGCCGTCGCCATCGTCATCGTCTTCGACATCACCACCCTTCACCATGAACCGTTTGACGGGGGTCACGCCGCATGGAGTCAAGCCCCAGCTGTATTCCGGGGCTGGCCCAGCCCTCCCTCGGGAGGCTCACCTCACAGCTTGCTGTTCAGGCTGCCCGCATCCGCCTCGCGGGCGGTGGGGTTTGGGGTCGGTGCTGGTCGTAGGGGGGCGGACTGGCGCGCTCAGTTGGGCAGGCCACCCCTTTGCTCGACCCGCCTGTGGCTTCTGGATTACAGACGGGTTTGCCTGAGTGGTCATTGCCCCCCTCTAGGCGGCGCTCCTGAATTTCCCCCCCCCTTCCTGGGAGGACGGTGTGCCGTGGGCAGTTTGGATGGCTCCTCGTCTCCTATGTCTCGGTGCCCGGGGGAGAGGTGAGAAGGGGCGGGCCTTCTCAGAAGGCTCGGAAGTCTTCCAGCCTTCCGAGAGCTGTCGGAAGCCTTGCCCGAAGACGCAGAAGATTGTTCAGAAGGCCAAAGGCCTTATGAGAAGACCCGGCGCCATCTGAAAAGGCCTTCTCCTTCTCACTTCCCCCCTCGCTCGCCGCCCATCGTCTCCTATCCATTTCCTCCTCCTCCTCCTCCTCCTCCTCCTCCTCCTCCTCCTCCTCCTCCTCCTCCCCCTCCTCTTCCTCCTCCTCCTCCGCTTTTCGTAACGTCCTCCTCTTCATTCTCCTTCATTCTCCTCCTCCCCCTCTCCCTCCTCATGTTGTAACATTAGTCCGATCTAAGCAAAAGCTGTGGCGTTATGCCTCCTCCTCCTCCTCCTCCTCCTCCTCCTCCTCCTCCTCCTCTCCTCCCATCCTCCTCCTCCTCCTCCTCCTCCTCCTCCTCCTCCCTCCTCCTCCTCCTCCTCCTCCTCCTCCTCCCCCTCCTCCTGCTGCTCCTCCTCCTCCTCCTCCTCATCCTCCCTTCCCCCCTCCTCCAGACCCCACCGCCGCCATGACTCCCCGCGCCGGGCCTCCCGTTCCGCGGCTCCGCGCCCCCCCTCCCCGCGAGAACGGCAGGAATACCCACCGCTCCTGGCAGGCCTCTGTTGCTGGCGGGAGTCGGAGTTCGCCATGGGGGAAACGGGTCCTGCAAGAAACGGGTCCTGAGATTTCGCCCTTGTCGGGCCCTCGGGGCCCTCCTCCTCCTCCTCCTCCTCCTCCTCCTCCTCCTCCTCCTCCTCCTCCTCCTCCTCCTCCTCCTCCTCTTCCCTCCCTCCCTCCGCCGTTCCGCGGCGCAGCGGCTCCCGGCAGGGCCCTGTAGTTGGCGGCGGAGTTCGCCATGTGTAAAACAAATTAACGATGATTGAGGCCAATCCCGAAGGAAACCAAGCCAACGAGGAAGCTGAAGACGAGGATCAAGTTCAGTCCTTGCCAGAATGAGACGGGTTGAAGGCCGCCGCGGCGCAGAGGCCGCTTTCTTTGAGGAACATGTGGTCAGCGAGCAAGCCAGAAACGGGTCTTGAGGGAACCGGGTCCTGAGGTGTTTCGCTGTTTTCGGGCCCTCGGCTCGGGACCGTCAGAAAACGATTCAGGGTGAAGAACTGGTCCTGGGGGAAGGCCCCAGGGTCCAGAACCCGCTTCCCTCAGGACCAGTTTCTTCCATGCTAGCATTTTTCTTTTCCCGCGAGTTGTGGGGTTCCCTGGTGGTGTGGTGGTGCTGGCGCTGGGTGGGACTGGTGGTCTTGTCTTTGGTTCCGTCCTCGAACTTCGGCCCTCGACTGCGTCTCTTTCTGACTGTGTCGCTGCCTGCGTTGCTTGCGATGACGTCCCGCACATTGTCGTCTGAATCCTAATCGGGCGACGGTGGAAAGTGGAATGGAAGTAAGGCGGTTCGTGGTGCCCCCGCTGCCCCACTGTTTGACAGGCGAACTACGGGAGCGCTGCCCCCGCCCCCGTCGCGGGACGCTTCGGGGGCAGGTGAACCATGGCAGCCGCCGCCCATGCCCGTCCCGTGGCACTCAGGGGGCGGCGCCACGCCCCCGTCGCGGGACGCGACTGGTGCGAATGATCGTTGCCCCGCCCGCGCCCGCGGGCAGGTGCACGATGGCGGCAAGCAGGGGGAATCTGGGACCCCCCCGTCGCCACCGCTGGATCCGCTTCAAAATGTTGGGTCGGCGGTCGAGGCGTCGAGGCGGTGGCCCTGGCCTGTTCCTGTGCATCCCCCTTGGAAGCCTTCGGGGTCTCGCTTGCTCGCGGGGTCCCGGCGGCCACCCCACTCAGCACATTGGCCGGCGGATGCCAGCTGCGCTTGGGCGCTGTTCATCGCAGAGCAGAAGCATCATCGCCGTGCTCAGCATTACCCTTTATAACCTCAGCATCATCGTTATCAACCATCAATCCGCATGGGCATCGTCGTCCTCGCCGTCGTCATCACCATCGCCATCATCAACATAATCGTCCTCACAATCACAGTCATCATCATCATAATCATCATCATCATCATCATCATCATCATCGTCATCATCATCATCATCATCATCATCGTCATCATCAGCAACATCATCACCATCACCAGCATCATCATCCTCAGCACCATCATCATCATCATCATCAGCAGCAGCAGCAGCATCATCATCGGCATCAGCATCTTCGGCATCATCATTAGCATCATCATCATTATCATGATCATTATCATCATGATCATTATCACCATACTCATCATCATCAGCAGCAGCATCACCATCATCACCATCGTCGTCGGAATCGTCATTGTCACCGTCACCGTCGTCACCCTCGTCACCGTCCTCGTCACCGTCAACCTTATCATCACCATAGTCATCACCATACTCAGCATCATTATCAGCACCATCATCACCACCTTCATCATCATTAGCATTATCATCACCACCACCATCAGCATCACCACACCCATCACAATGATCATCATCAACTGCAGTAACATCAACATCATCACCATCCCTTCAAACTCATCATCACTAATATCAGCATCATCATCAGCAACAGCAGCAGCATTATCAGCATCATCACCACCATCACCATCACCATAATCAGCATCAGCATCACCATCACCATCAACATTAACATCAACACTCGCATCATCATCCTTATCATCACCACCATCGACATCACCATTATCTTCATCATGATCATCAGCATCATCGGCATCATCATCATCATCATCATCATCATCATCATCAGCAGCATCATCATCGTCATCGTCATCGTCATCGTCATCGTCATCACCAAGAGTATCGTAATCGTCGTAATCGTTATCGTCATCCTCGTCGTCGTCGTCATCATCGTCATTGCCAACCTCATCATCGTCAGCAGCATCAACATCATCACTATCACCATCGTCACCACCTCCATCACTATCACCATCTTCATCATCAGCAGCAGCAGCATCATCACCATCATCCTCATCAGCTGCAGCACCATCTTCACCCTCAACACCACCATCATTCTCACCATCATCAGATGCAGCAGCAGCATCATCCCCATCTTCCCAGGAGGATGGCCCCCCAAAGCCTCGCCCAGCCCCCTCCGCCCGCTGCACCGGGAGGCGCAGCTGGGCGGGCGGGGTACCTGCCTCGCGAGCAGGCCCGGAGGCGACGCGCGCCCCGCCCCGCCGGAGGGCCCTCGCGCGGCCAGTGCCCCACCGCTCGGAGGCCCCCATTGCAACGAAACCGCTGAAGGTCTGTAGTTTTGGTCCACTCCCCCCCTTTCTTTCGGCGGTGAATTGGACTGGTCGTACGTAGAACCTCCTCCTCCTCCTCCTCCTCCTCCTCCCTCCTCCCTCCCTCCCTCCCTCCCTCCCTCCCTCCCTCCCTCCCTCCCTTCTCCTCCTCCTCCTCCTCATCCTCCTCCTCCACCTCGTCCTCGTCGTCGTTGTTGCGCGGTGCCGCGGACAAAAATAATCAGTTACCCCCTACTAGTGGGACCCAAGTCCTTCTGCAAGGCCGCCGAGAAAATAATTACTTACCCCCCCTACCAGGGGGGTCTAAGGACCTTTCAGGGTTAGACGGGATCGCGTCAAGAGAAATCAGGACGACGCACTTCGAATTTCGAGGTCGGAGTATCGAGGCGTTTTGGGCCCAGGGGGCTTCCCGTCGACGCTTCCAGATCTTGGTCAGAACGCACCCATAGGAGAGGGCTGCGGGTCGGAATCCTGACTCCCGATCCCGGACCCCCTCGCGTCGTGACCATCCAGACGGCCGTCTTCCGTCGTCTTCGGCCTCTGGAGGCCCTCGCCAGGCCCGGGGGCCGTCGAACACCTCTTCAGGATTATGGAAAAGCTTGCCCCGGGGAATGGGTCGAGACCCCTGGGGATCGAGATGGGCCGAGATCCCTGGGGTTCGAGACCCCTGTTTGTCGGGACCCCCGGGGGGTCGACGTCATGAAAAGTCACGACGTCAAGCTCAGGCCCCGGGGGGCCCCATGGTGAGGCGTCGGGCCGCGCACAGACACCCCCAGGTGGCCCCAGCTGGCCTCAACAGCCCCCCCCCCCCGAGTAATCCCGGCTGACCTCGACAGCGCGCCCGAGCAGGGCTCATTTCGATTTCTCCGATTCGATTCGATTCGATTTCAACGGAGTCCGATTCCGAGTCGATTCGACTTCGGATTCCGATTTCGGATCCGATTTATCAATAGAGGCCTACGAACCTGCCGATGTCTACCGATTCGACTTTTCCCGACTCGGCTGCCGATTTCCGCCAATCCGATCCACTTCGATCGCCGATCCGACTTGTCGATTCGATTCTGGGCTCTCCTGCCCCGAGTAGCCTGGGGCGGTCTCAACACCCTGGGGCCGCCTCCAGCGCCGCCTCCGGAGCGCCCCAGGGTTGAGGTGGCGACCGCCGAGGACTACTCGGGGGGCCTGTCGAAGCGAGCCGGGATTATTCGGCAGGGCTGTTGAGGCCAGCCCGGACTCACCTGGTGGGGCTGTCTGCGCGCAGCCCAACGCGTGACCAGGCCCCCAAACGGTGCGGTAATAACACCGCGTGCGGTGGGTCAGTGGGGACCTGGGGTGACCGCACAGTTTTGGGACTCGGGTCGTTCTTCGCGGATGCCTCAAGCCACCGGGACCTCCAAGGTCCCAAGGCCGCGCGGTGACGGGCCGCGCGGTGAGGTCGTCGGGGATCTCGAGGTCACCGCACGGTCTGTCAACACACGGACCCCCAGGCCGTGCCCCTCCCCCCGCGCCCTCCCCTGCGCCCGGGATCCCCGGCTGCACTTAGGCAGCAGCTGCCGGCGGCCACGGCTCTGCTCATACGCGTCTCGCGGGGCTCGGCGGCCGGCTCCGGAGTGCTGCTCGCGTGGGTTGCCTGCGCCGGGGCAGGACCGGGCCACCTTAGCGCAGCCGGGGCTTCAGAGCCACAGGTTCTTCAGCCCTCCCTCCCTCCCTCCCTCCCTCCCTCCCTCCTTCCCTCCCTCCCTCCCTCCCTCCCTCCCTCCCTCCCTCCCTCCCTCCACGCAGGCGATGGAAGATCTGCGAGGAGCCGAGCTGCCAAGAGAGGAGAGGCTGAGGGGAGGAGTGCTCCTCCTTGCCCATCTCGTGTGCAGCTGGAGCGAGGGTCAAGAGCATCCCCAACCTTGGAGGGGGTACCCTGATGTTCTTCGTGCTGGGGGCCCTCCGCCCTGGAGTCTGGCGTCTCGCTTGGCGATGACCTCCATGGGGCCCTTCTTTGGCTCTCGGCGAGGCAGCTCGTGCTCGTTCCACGGGCGTTATCGTGGCCGTGTCCTTCGGCTGTGCCGTGGAGACCCATGCCAAGAGACACCCGGCTTGCATCCTGGGTGCCGTGGGCTTCTTGGGTTTCGATGGTTTTGCAGTGGGCAGCGTGGTGTCCCCACACCAAAAAATCCATTGAGGTCCTGGAGTCTCAGGGTGGGGGTGTTTGCGGGAGGTTTCTGGTGGTCGAGCTCCTACTGCAGACGTCAGCTCGGTTGCCTCAGCCTCCGCTGCTGCTCCTGCTCGTTCCTTCGGGGCCCTGGGGCGGGCAACAGCCGAAAGGGGCCGATGCCGCGCAGGAGCTGCCGGCGCAGGGTCGCGCGCAAGACTTAGGAGCCCTTCTCTCTTCGTGGTGTGCTGATCGGCGGCACGATGGAAGACACCGCGTGAGGTCGCGGCGTCGTCGCGGGTAGGGGCTCCCTTTCTCCTCCGATCGGGCGGCCGTCTCTCCATTCCCAGGAGGGGAAAACACACAGACACAATCAATCGTCGATCCCCAGGAAGAGATGGGAACATCTGTGAAGTGTAGGGGAGAAGACAAAAATCAAGAAAATATGGGAAAAGATTGGGAGTCCTTTTATTTGTGTGTATTTATCCGTAAGGGCTTCGCCCCCTGCCGCCGGCCCCCTCTCTCGGAGAATGGGCCATGGAAGAGCTAAGTCATGAGGCTTTGGCGCTGTCGCGCAGCAGTATCGGAACTTCATGCGAGGCCGATTCGCAATCGGCAAAACCAACTGATCACAAGAGGGGTTACCACACAGGGCGATTGGTAAGACGTGTATGGTTTACGAGCTTGGTTACCACACCTTGGGATTAAAGGGCCGAGGGAGTACTCGCAGTTTGGGTTACCACGCCTTGCGATGGATGTCCGTGAGGGGTGGCACCGAATTTCAGAAATGTGGCAAATCCCTGTGTTTTTGGACCCTGACCCCGCGGATCTGCGTGAGGGGTGGCACCGAATTTCAGAAATGTGGCAAATCCCTGTGTTTTTGGACCCTGACCCCGCGGATCTGCGTGAGGGGTGGCACCGAATTTCAGAAATGTGGCAAATCCCTGTGTTTTTGGACCCTGACCCCGCGGATCTGCGTGAGGGGTGGCACCGAATTTCAGAAATGTGGCAAATCCCATGTGTTTTTGGACCCTGACCCCGCGGATCTGCGTGAGGGGTGGCACCGAATTTCAGAAATGTGGCAAATCCCATGTGTTTTTGGACCCTGACCCCGCGGATCTGCGTGAGGGGTGGCACCGAATTTCAGAAATGTGGCAAATCCCATGTGTTTTTGGACCCTGACCCCGCGGATGTGCGTGAGGGGTGGCACCGAATTTCAGAAATGTGGCAAATCCCATGTGTTTTTGGACCCTGACCCCGCGGATCTGCGTGAGGGGTGGCACCGAATTTCAGAAATGTGGCAAATCCCTTGTGTTTTTGGACCCTGACCCCGCGGATCTGCGTGAGGGGTGTCGATTTCGAGCCCCCCCAGCAATTCAGACAACGCGCCCAGGGGGTGCTAAAAAATACTGTTTGGGCCTCCCCCCCCCTCGCGCGGTCAATCAACTAGTTACAGTAACTAGCAAGAAGCAGAACTGCAACACTGGAAACTACAAGCTACAACTGGTACTGGAAACTGCGAACCCGCGCCTACAGCCTGGTGGCCCCACAAGGGGGCCGGCGGATTTGTGTGTCCCAGGGCCCCTTCACATTCGTGCACAGAAGTTCCTTTCCCCCCCCCTCTCTCACACCGCGGAGGCGACAACAGGGGCGCGGTGGCCAGCAAGCTGCAGGACAAGCTGCAGAAGCAGCAGGAGGGCCGAGCCGCCAAGAAGAAGGAGCCCGGGGCCCTGGCAAGCTGGGGATGGCCGAGTTCGCAGGCAGACGCGTCCCCCCTTCCTGAGAACCCCCTCCTCCTCTTCCTCCTCCTCCTCCTCCTCCTCCTCCTCCTCCTCCTCCTCCCCCTCCTCCCCCTCCTCCTCCTCCTCCTCCTCCTCCTCCTCCTCCTCCTCCTCCTCCTCCTCTTCCTCCTCCTCCTCCTCCCCCTTCCTGATCCTTCCTGTTGGGAGGAAACGCCCCGAGGCTCCGGGAGTGTACGTGCCCAGCTGGTTGGCAGTGCTCCTGTCACTGGCCAGGGCCGCCATGTCAGAGCATCGCGCGGGGCGTGCACGCCAGCTGCAGGGCGGCTGCATTGATAGGGACTTGAGGGCAAGCGATCACCTCCCGACTCAGCGTGGCGGCAGCGGCCTTTCGGAGGGCCCTCGGATCAGCACGCCCTAAACGGGTACGGGAAGAACGGGTACGATGCCCAACAGCAAAGGTTGTCCAAATTCGGCAGCGGCCGCTGTTGGGGAGGCGACGTTTTTCTAAAGTGGACGACGTTAACAGCGATTCCTGATCAACATGCGCAGGAACTGCTGTTAGCCGTTGTAGCCATACTTACCGTACCCACGTCGGTCCTCCAAGTCGGAGAGCTCCGAGTATCTCTGGAGGCATGCTATAGGAGGGGGCGGATCTAGGAGGTCTGGGACGTCCCTCTCTCTGGAGGCCTCTTGCGAGGCTCTCCGAGGTCCCCAGGAGCCTCTGCGGGCCTCGAGAGACGCGCAGAGGGCCAGAAAGTTCCAAAATCCTGAGACGTCGAGACCTCGACAGCGGCGGCGGCGGCGGAGGCGGCAGCGGCGGCGGCGGCGGCGGCGGCAGCGGCGGCGGCGGCGACGGCGGCAGCGGCGGCGGCGGCGACGACGACGACGACAGCGACGACAGCGACCACAGCGACGACGACGACGACGACGACGACGAGGACTACGACGACGACGGTTGCGGCGGCGGCGGCGGCGGGCCGGGGGGCCTCGAAGAGACGGGCCGGTCGGCCGCAGCGACAGGAGGGCAAGAAGTAGGAGTGAGCCCGGCCGTCCGCCGCGCTCGCCAGCGGCCGCCGCCCTGGAGTCGGGCGCGGGCGCAGAGCGGCGGCGGTCGACTGTACGGCGGCGGTAGCGGCGACGACGCCGACGCGGACCGCCGCAATCGCAATGCTGCCGCCTTTCGTCAACGCCGCCGAGGTTCTTCGAAGACGACGGCGACGTCGACGCCGACGAGGACGACCACGGACGGCCACGACGCCGCCGCCGCTCGTCGAGGCCGGGCCTCTTGGAGGCCTGTGGAAACCTCACAGGTCATGCGGCCCCCAGGGTTTAATTTCGGGCGCGAGCGCTTGTCGCAGTACCAGGACATTCTGGCAGCGACAGTGGGATTTCGCAAGCGAGCGAGCAGCATTCAGCGACAAAGGTTTGTCGGGAAGGCGGGCGCGGTCGAACAAATGTTGCTGTCTGCTCTGCGCGGTCGCATTCGGGTTGCGGACGATCGGGGGTAGCGTTATCACCATTTTGCTTTGAGCGGGGAAGAGGGGATCAGAGACACAGGTTTGACAAACGTTCGTCGACTACCCCCTTGCCGCGGGATTGTTCTCGGTAGCGCACAGTGCGGTTTCGACTTGCCGGCCTTTGGCAGCGGCTGCCGAAACAGACAGACCTACACGCCAGCAGCAATCAGCGTTTGCTACCAAACCTTGTCTTGGCTTGATCACGATTCCGGTCGCTACCGCAATCGAATTGTCGCAACCTTAAGTCTTCGGCAGCGCCATGTTCTAGGCTCTGGAAGCCTCGGGAAGCCTCCAGCGCTGTCCCCGCGTTGCCGCCGTCGCCGTCGTCCACGGACGCGACGATGACGACGACGACGAGGACGACATCCCAGACCCCATCGCATCGAGGCATTTTCTAAGGGGTGGCGGGCAAGGAGGTTCTTAGAGGGGCCGCCGCTCTTGTGCTGGCCCCAGGTCTTCGGTCGAGGTGCAGAGGGCTGCTTCGGGAGAGGCCTTGCTCACTTCTCCTTCCCCTCGCCCCCCCGCTTGGAGAAAGGGTCGGCGAAGAGGAAGAGGAAGGATTGTATGCTCTTCTCGATTCGTGTGTGTCATCCAACAGGAGCCATGCCAACATTCTCTCTGTATCGTTCCAATGTTGACGGGTGATCCCCAAAGAGAATCTGAAACATTGTAAACATTTCTTGAGGTGCGCGCGTCATCCTCGCACTGGGGCCATTCTAATATTCTCTGCACCGTTCCAATTGTATCGGATGACCCCCGAGGGAATCCGACGACCCCTTAAAATTATCTTGCGACGTACCCAACCAATTTGCATGAAGTGACAAGAGGAGTTGGTTCAAATTTGCATGGACAATGACAATCATGGCGCCGTTATATGTCGTGCAATTTACATGGGATGCGCTCATGCAGCACGACTCACAGGACAACAACAGAAGAACGAGGAGCGAGTGCCCAGGCCTGAGGAGGACATAGGGAGCGGGAGCGAAGGGCAGGAAAAAGACGCGCGGGGGGCCGAACCGTCAGCGCGGCAGCAGCAGAGGGAAGGTGGCAATGGGCAGAGGACGACGACGAAAATGACGGGAAAAGACCGACGAGTGTTTGCTGCCTTTGTTGGTAGCGCGCTAAAGATGCAGTGCTGCCTGCGCCATGTCGCCGCCGAATTCGACAAAATTATTAAACCTGCTTCTAGTTAGTGCAAGAAGCGAACGAGGCCTAGCTCGCCCGCCAACTTCCCTGCTTCCTTCCTGCTTTCTTCAGTGCGGGAGGTGAGCGCTCGAAGGCGAGCCGCCAGGTTTGCGGGCGGCCCGCGGCAGCGCCCTGCTGAACCCCCAGCAGCCCCCGAAAGTGGCGAAAGTCTCGCCGGTCGCAGTCCCCCAAAGATGATGCCGAATCTGAGTCTGCGCAGTAAGTCACTACGCTGGACTCTGCTGGACCCCCCTGCAGCCCTCGAAAGTGGCGACAGTTTCGCAGATCGCAGCCCCGCAGGGATGGCAAGGTCTAGTCTGAGTCTGGGTGGTGCCTCATTCCGCTGGACCCCCACCAAGCCTCAAGAGTGGCGACAGTTACGCAGATCGCAGCCCCCCAGGGATGGCGAGCCTATTGTGAGTTTGGGTGGTGCCCCATTCCGCTGGACCCCTCCAGCAAGACTCAAAAGTGGCAACAGTTACGCAGATCGCAACCCTCCAGGGGTGGCGGCGTCTAGTCTGAGTGTGGGCGGCGCCTCACTCCGCTCACCCCCCCAGCAGACTTCAAAAGTGGAAACCGTTTCGCAGATCGCATCCCCCCAAGGATGGCGAGGTCTAGCCTGAGCATGGGTGGTGCCTTACTCCGCTGACCCCCCCTGCAAGCTTGGAATGTGGCGCGAGTTTCGCAGATCGCAACCGCCCAGGAACGGCGAGGTCTAATCTGAGTTTGGGTGGTGGCTCACTCCGCTGAAACCCCCCAGCAAACCTCAAACCTTGCGACAGGCTCGCCGGTCGCAGCCCACCAGGGACGGCGAGGTGTAATCTGAGTCTGGGTGGTGCCTCACTCCGGTGGACCCCCTAGCAGCCCTCGAAAGCGGCGACAGTTTCGCAAATCACAATCCCCCCAGGGATGGCGACGTCCAGCTCGCGTCCGGGTAAAACGTCACTCCGCTGGACCCCTCAGCAGCCTTCGAAAGTTGCAGCAGTTTCGCCGGTCGCAGCCATCATGGATGGCGAGGTGTCGATCGCGTCCAGGTAAGCCGTCACTCCGTTGGACCCCCCCTAGCCCTGGAAAGCGGCGACGTTTTCGAAGATCTCACCCCCCCAGGGATGGTGAGATCCAATTTGAGCCCAGGTAAAACGTCACTCCGCTGGACTCCCCAGCAGCCTTCGAAAGTGGCGGCGCAGTTTCGCGGGCCGCAGCTCCTCAGGGATGGCGAGGTCGAATTTGAGCCCGGGTAAACCGTCACTCCGCTGGACCCCCCAGCAGCCTTCGAAAATGGCGACCGTCTTGCATATCGCAACCCCCCAGAGATGGCGAGGACTAGTTTGAATCCGGGTAAGATTATTTAATCGCTTCGCTCATTCCGCCGGCCCATATTGTCGCACCGTTGTGGGCTAGCCGAGTTTTGGGGGCCGTTTTGGGGCCTCTTGGGGCCTCTTTTGGGCCTCTTGGGCGCCTCTTGGGGCGTCTTGGGGGCCTCTTGGGGGCCTCTTGGGGCCTTTTTGGGGCCTCCTGGGCGCCTTCTGGGGCGGAGGGCTCGATTTTTCAGTTCTCGGTTCCCCTCTTGAGCCCCTCTTGGGCCCGTCTTGGGGCCTCTTGGTCCGTCTTGGGCGGCACTTGGGCCGTCTTGGGGGCCCTCCTGGGCCGTTCCGGGGCCGTCTTGGGAGCCTCGTGGGCCGTCTTGGAGCGGTCTTGGGGGCCTCTTGGGCCGTCTTGGAGCGTCCGGAAGCCGAAAAAGCCAGAACACAAAAAACATCGAAAAAACCAATGAAAATCAACGATTTTGGCCTCTTGGGGCTCTCTTCGGAGGCCTCTTGGAAGGCTCTTGGGGCGTCTTGGAGGCCTCTTGGGCTGTCTTGGGGGCCTTTTGGGCCGTCTTGGGGTCATCTTCGGCGTCTTCGAGCGCTCTTTGGGCGTCTCGGGGGCCTCTTGGGCAGTCTTGGGGGCCTCTTGGGGCACTCTGAGCGCGCTCTGGGGAGCCTGAGAGGCCGCACCCAAAAGGAAAACCATCTCTGAGTAGACTTGGTCGGGCGGTGGTCGGGCGGCGGTCGGGCGGCGGTCGGGCGGCGGTCGGGCGTTGGTCGGGGTACTTTTCGCCGGGGGACCCCCAGGGGCCGCCCCGCGCGCGCGAACTAGAAATACTGTTAATACTGTTAACCAGTTACCGGAGATCTTAGCACGCCCTGGCCCGTTGGGCCGGCGAATATCCCGTTGGACCCCCCAGTAGCGTTCGAAAGTGGCAACAGTTTCGCAGGTCGCAGCTCCCTGGGGACGGCGAAATGTAATTTGAATGTGGGTAAAACGTCACTCCGCTGGAGCCCATGGCGGCCCTCGACAGTGGCGACGTTTTCGCAGATCTCAGCCCCCCAGGGATGGCGAGGTAGAGGGCAAGCTGGCACGCAGGAAGGAGCGAGGTGAGAGGCATAAGAAAACGAGAGAGGGAGCGGGAGGGTGTGCGACCGCAGTGCTCTATTCAAAACGAAAACCCAACGCAGGAGGGTTGAGAAATAATGGAAGTCACATTGGCGCGTCTCCCCAACGGACAATGAGGTGCGCGCCAGGACGAGGAGAATGTAGGAGGAGGAAGAGGACGAGGGGGAAGAAGAGGAGGAGGAGGAGGAGGAGGAAGGCCGAGGAGGAGGATGTAGGAGGAGGAGGAAAAGGGGTAAAAAGGAGGAGGATCCAGTAAGGAGAAAAAGGAAGCTGAGGAGGAGGGAGTGAAACTAAGAGGAGGAAGAGGAGGAGGAGGAGGAGGATGAGGAGGAGGAGGAGGAGATCCAGGAGCAAGAGGAAATCCGCACAGAAGCGGATGAGGAGGAGGAGGAGGAGGAGGAAGGGGGAGGAAGAGGAGGAAAAGGAGGAGGAGGAGGAGGAGGCCAGACGGGGCTCACTCGGGAGGAGGGGGGGCGCGAGAGGGATAAGGAGGAGATCGCAGGAAAGAGTAAGCAGGACAGGGAGGAGGAAGATGGCTTTGGGGGAGAGGAATATGGCTCTCATGGAGTTGTGGAGGAGGACAGGGGAGGAGAGAGAGGGAAAGAGAGAGAGAGAGGGGGGGGGAGGATGCGGAGAGAGGAGAGATGGAGGGCGACGAGAAAGGACGGGGGAGGAGGAGGAGGAGGAGGAGGAGGAGGAGGAGGAGAACGGGGACGAAGCCACCTGCCCTCCAAATTCTCGTCCCCTCCACCGCCCCTCTCTCCTCCCCCTCCTTCACATCTCTCTCTCTCTCTCTCTCTCTCAGGGCATGCGGCCGCTCGGGGCGCGGCTGGGGAGTCGTGGGGTCCGTCGTGGGTGCCGTAGGTTAGGCGGGGTCGCGGGGGCAGGCGTAGCAGGCACACGCCAGGAGGAAGGGCGGCAGGCGGAGAGCTCCATCGTCGCCGCAGGTATCGTCGGCGTCGGGTTGGGTTCCGGCCCAGTTGTCTGGGGGCCTGGGAGGCCGCAGCCGTGCTCCATGGCGCTCCACCAGCGGGTTGCTGGGGGGGCCTGTATGACGATGTGTGCGAAGGTGTGGCCGTCGTGGTGGTGTGGCTGCCTTTCGTGGCCGTCGCGGGGCTGCTCGTGGTGATCGTCGTGGTGGTGGTGGTGGTGGTGGTGGTGGTGGTGGTGGTGGTGGTGGTGGTGGCGGTGGTGGTGGTGGTGGTGGTTGTGGTGGTGGTGGTGGTGGTGGCGGTGGTGGTGGTGGTGGCGGTGGTGGTGGTGGTGGAACTGCTTGTCGTGGTTATCTTGCCAGTGGCCGTGCTGCTGGCTGATGGTTGCGACCAGCATGGCCACATCGGATGTGTGGACTGGCAAATGTCTCCAGGCCGCGCAGACCATCCTCCGCGCTGCAGCGCGCAGAGGTCTGGCGCCGAGGCGCGGTCGATGATCTCGTAGCCCATCTCCCACACGATGGCTAGAGCTCCCGCTGGCGCGCGTCGCGGGCGATCCCCGCTGCACGGCGGGCGCCGCGCCTGGGGCGCCGCCGCGGGAGGGCGAGAGAGGGCCTGCCCCTCGCCAGGATCTCTCGAGCGTGGCGCCTCCTCCTCCCCCCCCCCCCTCAGCTCAACAATTACACAATATGAAAATACTCTCCCACTTCCCCTGATGGCGTCCGGAAGATATTCGGCACCCCCCCGCGTACTGTTTTTTTACACACAGGATTCCCCGGAGTTGGGTTTTCGCTTGTGTTTTTTTCAAAAATGCTGCTCTCGCTGAGGCGCCGGCCTCATTTCTGCTCCCGAATCGTTCCGAATCGTGCTCCCGCTGCAGCGTGGGCCTCATTTTCGGATCGGTGTTTGGCCTCCGTCGTTCAGGATGGCGTTCTCGCCCCAGCGCGGGCCTCTTTCTCGCGCGCCCATCCGCCCGCCACCACCGCGCCGCACCACCACCACCACCACCACCACCACCACCACCACCACCACCACACCACACCACCCACCACCACCACCAGCACCACCAGCACCAGCACCAGCACCAGCACCACCAGCACCACACCAACACCACCACCACCAGCACCACCACCACCACCACCACCACCACCACCACCCACAACCACGCACACACGCACGCACGCACGCACGCGCACCACCACCCACTACGCACGCGCGCGCGGAGCCACAGGTCCGCTACGACACGCGTCCGCGGATAGAGAAAATCAGCGCCATGGTAAGGGATGGGAGGGAGGGGTAGGACGTCAGATATGACGCGAGCGCACCTAGCTTGTCCTCCACCCCCTCCGCCTCCCTCCCCCTCCTCCCTCCACCTCCCTCCCCCCCCCCCACTCAGCTCACATCCGCCTCGTCCTCCTCCACTCCCCTCCCTCCCGCCACCTCCCCTCCTCCTTTCCTCCCCCCCCCCCCGCAGCTCACCTCCACCTCCTCCCTCCCCCAGCCCGTGGGCGACCATCCGCGCCCTGCGCGCCCCTCGCGCGACGCGCCTCCCAGCTGCTCCGAGCCCCCGCCCTCGGGCCGCTGGCCAGCTGCCTCCCCCGCCCCCACTCCGGGGCAACACTGCGGGGCGGGGGGGGGGGGCAGTCTCTCACCTCTCAGGAGCAACGCCAGGGGTCACATGTTCGAGGTCGTCGGATCCTTCGTCGGTGCTCTGCCGCTTTCCAGCCTTCGGGGATGCGCTCTCGCCGCTGCGCCTCTCCGAGGGTGTTCCCAGGGGTGCCAGGACCGTCCCGCACGGCCGCCGGAGCACCGAGCCATGACCCGAGAGCCGAGACGAGCCAACCATCCCCCAATCGACCACTGCTCGCCGATAGGGGCCTCGCGGCCCGCCCTGCCCAGGAACGTGCGGCTTGGCTGTCGGGGGACCCGACTCCAGATGGCGCCGTCCATGCTGTTCGCGTCGCGCAATGGCCCTGCATTGCAGCGGCGGTCATGGCGAACACGGGGTCACACACGTGGCCCCAGTTCAGGCCGGAAGGACCGCCCGGACCCGATGACTGGCGCTTGCTGAACGGCCTTGAGCACTTACTAAACAGCCCTGCCCTGTTCGATTCCTCTTGTGGGTGCGTGGACTAAACGGCTTCGCGTGTCGGGGTGGTCACTCTGGGGGGGGGGATTTTCTGCCCCCTACCAGTGGGTCCTCGGGCCAACACGGGCTCACCAGCCCCCGGGTGGGCCCCCCTCGGGGCTCCCCCCGCCGAGGACTCCCGAGATGGATCGCACACAGAAGGACCGCCAGCACGAGCGCGTCGTGTGATTGCCGCAGGTTGGCAGCGCTACAACATGGGCGCGGCCCAAAGTCGAGGCTGCCCCACCCGAGCCAGTCACCCATCACCGTTGCCTCAAGTCCGGCATGTCCCTCTGCAGGAGGAAGACCCCCAAAGAAGAAAAAGAAAAATGTCTGGGACGATGTTTCTACTATGTTTAACCGTTTTCGCATCCGCTGTTGATTATTGCTGAGCTTTCGTCCCAAATCCACCTGTAGGAGGACATGCCCGACCTAATCGTTGCCCCCTGACAGCCCCCCACCGATGCCGCGCCCGCCCGCGCGATGGCGGCCGTCGGGGGCAGGCGGGGGCGCCCCGCGCCGCTCGGACCCTTCGGGTCCACAGCTCGCCGACGCTGTGAGTTATTGTCCGCCGGCGGCTCTGCGCCTCGATCGCGGCCCTGGGGGGGCCGCATCCGGGCCGCGGGGCCACCGAGAACGGATCCAGGGCGAGGAAGAACTGCGCCTGGGGAGGCGGTCGGGGCCGCACACGGGCAAGGAGTTCGAGCCCACTTCGTCGCAGCATAAGTGCTGACGCCCGCAACTGGTCCACATAGGTATGCCTATCGGAGTCCCAGCTCCACGCGTATGGAACAGGTCCCGTGTACCCCCCTCCCTCTGTTTTGCCCCATACACGCGTTCTCCATTGTGCATGGCTTCCTCTGTTGCGCATGGTATCCGTTGCGCATGGCTTCCGTTGCGCGTGGCTTCTGTTGCGCATGGCTTCCGTTTCGCATGGCCTCCGTTGGGTATGGCTTCCGTTGTGCAATATTTCAGTTGCGCATGGTTTCCGTTGAGGATGGTTTCCGTTTCGTATGGCGTCCTTTTCGCATGGTTTCTGTTGCGCATGGTTTCCTGTGCGCATCGCTTCCGTTGCGTTTGGCTCCCGCAGAGTAGGAGTAGGTTAGGGTGGGTAGGGTAGAAACGAACAGAGTAGAGAATGAGCAGGGTAGATTGTAGAACTGAGCCGGGTATGAATAGAGTAGAGCAGAGCAGAGTAGAGTAGAGAATGCTGAAGTAGGTGATTGTTGGGTAGGGTCAAGTCAGCCAGGTCGAGCGAGTCAGAGAGCCCCACCTAGTCCCACCCTCCCTCCCACAACATAATAATCAATGGGGGCACATCTTGATCGTGGAACTGGAACGCACTCCCACCTCGCAAACGGAAAGAGCTCGCGCGCGGTCCCACTTCCAAAGACTCGGCGAAGAGAAAGTTACGCGAGCCGCGCAGGGGCGGGGGGCGGCAGAACTTCCGATGAGCGCGGCGAAAACAACGTATGCGGCGCGCTGACACGGCATTGCAAGTGTCACTCAAAAATTGCGCGGCCTTCGGGCGAGGTCGGCATTTCGCTCGCTCTCGCGCGGCCCCGCCGTCGCTGCCGCGTCCCTGCACTTCGGCGAGCGAGCCATGCGCCGCGCCCGCGCTGGCACGCCACTCCCGAGCCGGAGGCGCACGGAGCCTGGGCGAGGGGGACAAGTCGCCCACTCGAGCGGGCTCCTCCTCCTCCTCCTCCTCCTCCTCCTCCTCCTCCTCCTCCTCCTCCTCCTCCTCCTCTGGCGAGTGGCGCCGCGTCGAGGCGGGAGCGCCACTCCCAGGCGAAATCTCCGCGGCGCCGAGGCGAGGGCAACATATGCTCGCCCGCTCGCGCGTCGACGGACGTGCGTGCGGCCAGCGTGCGCAAGGCGCCTGGGCGGGAGCTTCGAGACCTCCAGAAGAAGGAGTGGCGCAGCGCTGCGGCGAGGGCGACATTTCGGTCTTTCTCTCGGGATGTGCACCCTCCTCCTCCTCCTCCCCTCCTCCTCCTCCTCCTCCTCCTCCCTCCTCCCTCCTCCTCCTCCTCCTCCTCCTCCTCCTCCTCCTCCTCCTCCTCCTCCTCCTCCTCCTCCTCCTCCTCCGCCACACGGTTTGCAGCATGGGCGACAGAATTTCCACGTCGAGACGAAAGGCGCCGACCTTGTATCGGATGTTTCTCCGTCAGAATGGGGGGGTCCGGATCCGGCTCCTGTCGGCCAGCTGCGGTTGAGACCAGGCGGTGATACCAATAAGACAGGGATAGGGTAGAGTAGAGTAGGGTGGAGCAGAGCAGAGTAGAGTAGGGTAGGGTAGAGGTAGAGCAGGGTCGAGAAGAATCGAGTAGAGTAGAGCAGAGCAGAGCAGAGTAGAGTGGAGTCCACCCCAGTCCAGTCCAGTCCAGTCTACTCCAGTCCAGTCTACTTCAGTCCACTCCAGTCCATTTCATTCCAGTCTTATGATAAATTTGGAGTCTGCGCTGGCTAAGACGCCATGTATTCGGCCTCTGGAGGTCTGTTTCCCAGCCCTGGGGACCATCGAGAGACCACTCGGGATGAAAAGTTGGCCCTGTAGAGCGGGGCAGGATCCCCGAGGGCCCGCGTCACGGAAGCGCCGCGACATCGGAGCAGAGGGGACCGACCAGCCGCAATTGGTGGGGTGGGGGGGTTGTGGTCTTTTTCCCCTCTGGGGGACCCAATGGCGATGAGGACGAGGCGGCGAGGGATCTGTTTGGACCTCGTATCTGATTCAACCATTGGCCTGTCAGGGAAGAAGGCGGCACACCACTTGCAAAATGACAACGGAGGCGGCCCCAAACAGTGCACCGCAGGCTCTGATTGTGGAAGTCGGTCAATGGAGAGGAAGCAATTTGCCAAATGAATTCCGGATGTCTGAAACATGTTTAAACAATGTCTTACATAAACATGTCAGAAACATAGTTTAAGCAGATTGGGGAGCATGTTTCAAACATGTAAACACCATGTTAATTCAATGATAGGACTGTTAGAGTGCCCATTGTCATGGCATCCACAGCGCTCTGATTGAGGAAAGCAGTACTGGTGTGGACAGGCGGCGAGGGGGGGAGGGAGGGAGCGGGGCAGGGCGAGGCACGGACAGGAGTGCAGGGCAGCCGGGGGAACCACATGTACCCACACCGCCACTCCCCAGCCCTCTCCCAGGATGCCCTCTGACCCGAGTTTCTGAGGTGAATCCAGCCGTGGCGACGAGGGGTCTTCAGGACAACCAGCGGCATCGGTATCTCCTCCTCCTCCTCTTCCTCCTCCTCTTCCTCCTCCTCCTCCTCCTCTTCTTCTGAATGACAGCGACTGGTCGCCGTTCCGCTCCGCCCCCCCCCTCCGCGGAGGCCGAAGGGCTTCATCTCGGCCTTGCAGCTCAGCAGCGGCCCCAGAGGTCCCGACCCATTCACTAGGGTTGACTGTTCGTCCCCGATGCATTTTTGATGGCCTCGGGGGCCCAATGACCGGACCCGGGTGGCTGAAATCGAGGAAAAACAGCCGGATGGACAATCAAATTGATTGTCAGAGATCTCGGTTCCGCTCCGCTCCGCTCCCTCGCAGAGGCCGACGAGCTTCATCCCCGCCTGACAGCTCGAGTAGCGACGACGACGACGACGAGGCCGAAGAACTCCATCTCGGCCTCGCAGCTCGAGCAGCGATGGCGACGACGACGACGAGGCCGAAGGGCTTCACCTCGGCCTCGCAGCTCGAGCAGCGACGACCACGACGACGACGACGACGAGGCCGAAGAGTTGCATCTTGGCCTCGCAGCTCGAGCAGCGACGACGACGACGACGGCGACGACGAGGCCGAAGAGCTTCATCTCGGCCTCGCAGCTCGAGCAACAGGAGGCGCTCGCAGCCACCCTGCAGCCGTTCCTGCAGGGCTCTGCCGCCGCGGACCACGGGGAGGCGTCGCGGCGCTCCGCCCCCCTCTCTTAATAGACTATACATAATTTTGCGAATTCTAGAGTTGTTGACCCACGAACCAAAATTCACATCTCGAGTACTTATATAGTTTGGGGGACGGCACTACGAGGGGAGAACTAACGGGGGCCCATACCCCCTCGCGTCGGGAACCAAAACACGACGGAAGGTTTGTTGATACATCGTAAGTATTTTCGGCTTCTGGGGGTCCTTACGAGGCCCCAGGACCGTCACAAAACGACTCGGAACGAAATGCCGGGAACAAGACGGAGGAAAACGCTGGGGAAAAACACGCTGGGAAAAAAACACACGCTGGGGAAGACCTCAATCACGACGTCGGGGGTGTGGCAGTGGAGGGTGCGAAGTCCCGCTTGCGAGGAAGCGCAGGCACGGACCAGGGCGCGCGGATCGGCGGCGGGCCCCGCGCCCGCGCAGCAAAGCTGCGCGCTCCGTCGCCGCATCGGGCGGCGCTTTGCCTCCTGCTTCGGGAGGCGCGTTCCCTCGGTCCGTGATACATATTAAGTCGGGCACCTCCCCGTATACAGGAAGGATAGTCCGAAATAGTCAAAAAAATGAACCCGGAGAAAAACCCCAATCAGAATTTGTGTTAGGGCTATATGGGCTATAGGGCTATAGTGGGCTATTGGGTTATAGGGCTATAGAGCTATAGGGCTATAGGGGTATAGGGCTATAGGGCTATAGGGCTGTAGGGAGGTGCCCGAGGATAGTCGAGAGTAGCCAACAAGTAGTAAAGTGACGATGTTTTGTGCTGTTTTGGTTTTTGTTGATGGTTGTTTTGATTTTTTAATCTTTTTTCCAGAAATTCACCTGTAGGAGGACATGCCCGATCTATTGCTAGCATGTTAGCGTGCGCCTTGCACGCGCTAGCACCTGCTCCATTGCAGGCTCCTGCTGCGCAGGCCCTGGGGGCTGCCCCTTTGGCAAGATTCTCACCTGGAGCCTCTAGTGCCTTTTGGGGTGGTCGTGGGGGCCTCTTGGAGCTTTCTGGAGCGTCGGAAACCAGAAACGGCAATAACACCAAAATCGACCAAAAACCGAAAGAGGATCGATAATGTTTGCCTGTTGGGCCCTTGTGAGGGGCCTCTTCGAGACTTTTATGGTTGTTTTGAAGACTTATTGGCTTGTCTTCGGGCCATCTTGGAGGCTTGTTTGGCCGTCTGGAGGCATCCGCGCGCGTCTTACAGCGATCTTGTGGCGACTTGGGCCCTCTTTGGCAATTTCGGGGGCCTCTTGGCGCCATCGGGCTTCGTTTGGGGGCCCTCCTGGGCGGGGTCGGCCGACGCGAGCGATTCTGGCGCCCGGAGGACCCTGGGGAACGATTGGTCCGGGCCTCGAAAGACCCACGATTCTGGCTGCAGCAGCACAGCCCTCTCAGCGCTGCAGGAGCCTTGGGGCACTCTACTTCGTGCCAGAGGGACGGTGGTGGATACGTGTGTATAGATGTACATATTCATCAGTTTCACGATTGTCGATTCGGAGCGCATTTGCTGACCCGAGGAGGCGCCGCGTATATCCTCTCTTCCATAAACGTACTGGCTCACGTTGATTGGGGGTCTCTTGGTGGCGACATCTGCATGGTGGGGACCCTGCCGCGTCGCTCCATCTGTTCTGGGCCGTGGCCCGCGATCTGTCGGGACTCGGGCAACGATGCCCGGACGTCTCGCTCAGTTGTCCGGAGCAGCATTGTCTGACCTGTCTGGGGTCTCGTGCCAGGACACCAGCGCTTGCTACCAGCTGGTGGGCAAGCTCGCGGCTGCTGCGCGCGCGCAAGCGCCGGCGGCAGAGTGCGCAGTGCAGGAGGCCTGTCCCGCGTGCGAGGCCGAGGTCTGCGAGTTCCCGTGGCTGCTGCAGTTGCTCCTGCTCGGCCTGGAGTGGAGTTGTGGTGTTGGCGGGTGTTGTCTCGGGCACTTCATCAGCCGGCGTGCCAGGCGACTGGCAGCACTTCGAGGGGGAGAGCAGCTACCTGATCCGAGATTGACCGTCGCTACTCCAACGATCTTGCGTTTGAGGAATGGCTCAGCATAGAACATTAGGCATACCAGAGAAGCAGGTGATGCTAGACTTTGTGGGGGGCAAGAACGGACTGAATTGGCACGCCCGTATCCTCTTGGCGCCATCGGGCTTCGTTTTGGGGCCCTCCTGGGCGGGGCCGGCCGACGCGAGCGATCCTGGCGCCCGGAGGACCTTGGGGAACGATTGGTCCGGGCTTTGACCGACCCACGATTCTGGCTGCAGCAGCACAGCCCTCTCAGTGCTGCAGGAGCCTTGGGGCACTCTACTTCGTGCCAGAGGGACGGTGGTGGATACGTGTGTGAAGATGCACATATTCATCAGTTTCACGATTGTCGATTCGGAGCGCACTTGCTGACCCGAGAAGGCGCCGCGTATATCCTCTCTTCCATAAACGTACTGGCTCACGGTGATTGGGGGTCTCTTGGCGGCGATATCTGCATGGTGGGGGACCCTGCCGCGTCGCTCCATCTGTTCTGGGCCGTGGCCCGCGATCTGTCGGGACTCGGGCAACGGTGCCCGGACGTCTCGCTCAGCTGCCCGGGGCAGCATTGTCTGACCTGTCCAGGGGTCTCGTGCCAGGACACCAGCGCCTGCTACCAGCTGGCGGGCAAGCTCGCGGCTGCTGCGCGCGCAGGCGCCGGCGGCAGGGCGCGCAGTGCAGGAGGCCTGTCCCGCGTGCGAGGCCGAGGTCTGCGAGTTCCCCTGGCCGCTGCAGTTGCTCCTGCTCGGCCTGGAGTTGAGTTGTGGTGTTGGCGGGTGTTGTCTCGGGCACTTCATCGGCCAGCGTGCCAGGCGACTGGCAGCACTTCGAGGGGGAGAGCAGCTACCTGATCCGAGATTGACCGTCGCTACTCCAACGATCTTGCGTTTGAGGAATGGCTCAGCATAGAGCATTAGCAATGCCAGAGAAGCAGGTTCTGATAGACTTCTTTGGGGGCAAGAACGGACTGAATTGGCACGCCCGTATCTGATTCAATCTTGGAGGGCAGGGAGGTTGGATTGCGCGCTCACCTACCCTCGCCGTGCAGGTCGCGCATCTCTCGAAACATCGGATCCGCATCTTGCGCGTCTTGGAGCAATCATGTGGCGATTTGGGCCCTCTTGGGCAATTTCGGGGGCCTCTTGGCGCCGTCGGGCTTCGTTTGGGGGCCCTCCTGGGCGGGGTCGGCCGACGCGAGCGATTCTGGCGCCCGGAGGACCCTGGGGAAACGATTGGTCCGGGCCTTCCCACGATTCTGGCCGCAGCAGCACAGCCCTCTCAGCGCTGCAGGAGCACTGGGGCACTCTACTTCGCGCCAGAGAGACGGTGGTGGATACATGTGTATAGACGTGCATACTCATCAGTTTCACGATTGTAGATTCGGAGTGCACTTGCTGACCCGAGGAGGCGCCGCGTATATCCTCTCTTCCATAAACGTATTGGCTCACGGCGATTGGGGGTCCCCTGGCGTCGACATCTGCATGGCGGGGGCCCTGCCGCCCCGCTCCATCTCTTCTGGGCCGTGGCCCGCGATCTGTCGGGACTCGGGCAACGGTGCCCGGACGTCTTGCTCAGCTGCCCGGGGCAGCATTGTCTGACCTGTCTGGGGTTTCGCGCCAGGACACTTGCGCCTGCTACCAGCTGGCGGGCAAGCTCGCGGCTGCTGCGCGCGCGCAGGCGCCGGCGGCAGGGCGCGCAGTGCAGGAGGCCTGTCCCGCGTGCGAGGCCGAGATCCGCGAGTTCCCGCGGCTGCTGCTGTTGCTCCCGCTCGGCCTGGATTCCCAGAGAAGCTTGTTCTTGAAAAAACATTGGAAAATCAAGACAGGAAAGGAAACCATAATTGTCTTGTTGTAGCAACAAAACCAAGAATTTGATCTAACAACACAAAGCTAGTGAAAACAACCAGAAGCCCAAACAACCATATAACACAACATCAACGCACTCATATTAGAACATAAGCGCGATGCGATTTTCGGCGTGGTATTGATGGGTCCATGTAGACGATGTAGTAAGATTTCGTCGTTGCTCGGTTTCCAGAAGCTCGCCCTTCCTGATGTTCATTTCTTGGGGTTTAGTTTCGGCCAGAGCCGCAAGTCCAGGGCCCCCCAAGTGATTTCGACAAGCCCGCGGCCCCGCGACCACTTCGGGAGACGCGGCGCGCCTGAGTGGGAAGGCCGACGGGTGAAGGGGGGGGGGCGAGGATCGAGATTTTTCGAACATCAATTCTGAGTTTTTGGGTTCCCCTGGGCATCTGGCATTGTTCCCCGGCGCTCGCGCATTCTGGAATGCATTTCCGAGGCAGCGCCCGGCGCGGCCAAGTGCACCGATGCGGAAGACGAGGGCATGCGCAGCCTGCAATTCATTAGTTCGTCGTGCCCGGAGGCGTCGGGGGATTGGTTTGCGCGCCGCCTGGGGGCATCTCTAGCGAGGGGATTGGATCGCAGGTGCGACCCCCCCCCCCGCCCGCCGACTCTGAGGAGTCGCAGGCGCGGGCCGCCGAGCAGGCGATGGTTTCGGCCGCGGAGACGGCGCCCGCGCCCTTGGGGGAGGTCGCCCTAACGCTCGAGGCCCCCCCCGCTCGGGAAGGGGTTGAGATCGGCAACGGCGCCGACGAGTCTGGCAGCGCGGGCCCCCCGCGACAACCAGGATCGATGCCCCCTGCTTTCTGCGCCTGCTCCGTTGCGGTTTTCTCATCGATCAGCCCTTCAGCGTCGGCTCTGGGAATCCAAGTCGTTGAGTTCTGTCCGGGGCACTTTCATCCTACGACCTCTGTGTAATTCACGGGCTGATCACCTATCTCCAATCGTAGTCATCGCTGCTACCGTTCAAGCTCCATAGTAGTTTCAGATTTCGCGATGGCGGGTTCTGTCGCGGCAGCCCTCAGACCATTCGCCACGAAGAACGCTTTCTTCAGATGCGACGCTAGCGCTGGCGCGCAGCGCGAGCAAATCGAGGCGCGCGTGGATCTGCT